TTGGTTAAACCAAAAGCCCGCTTATCAATCTCCGTCACATAATTATATATACAAATCTTGCAACTGTTCATTAGTAAAAGTTTGCTTATATCGACCGTAAAACCTACAAGTCACATAAATTTTGTTAAAATATATACCTATATGTAAGAGTCAAGCAATTGAATCTTATCAGGATATTTCTTTAAATATCTGCGAAGCGTTGGCTCTGGAAGATTATAGTTGTTTGCAGTGGAATTAACGGAAATAGCATTGTTTTGTACTTCGTTTATAGCATTCTTCATATTTTCCTTGTTTCATGTTTGTCTTGGAGTTTTTCGAGTATAAACCCGACCCATCTCGCAACCTAGACCACTAAACAATATTTTATAAATTAATAAAATATTAGTTTTAGGTGTTGGAGGTAAGATGACGAAGTTCGCCATCTTAGAAGCATTGTTGTTCGTCAAGTTACCTCCAAACGACATTCCTAAAGTTTGGGAAGATATTTTTTAAATGGCAAGTAATGTTTGACTGCATATTTAGAAGACCCTTTTCCAAAAACCCAAGACCACTGAAAAAATGTCTAGAACTTACTTACCAGTCAAACTTATTTCAATAACCTTAAAAATTTCTAAGAAAACGTACGAATATCACTTATCGGCGTCAAATCTCAAACTGCCCTGCTCTTCCGCCGAAATAGCGAAGTTACCATACTGCATAAGCCAATAGGGATGTTGTGTCGCGATTTTAAGGTTTTAAAACGTTTGGTATAGTAGGAATCTGCAATTCGTCATCTTACCGACTTCGTCATCTTAGGGCCCTTTCCCCTAACTAAATAGGTAACGTTTTTTTTTGTTTTAGGTGAGAAAATTCTTAAATTAGGTACGAACTTTACGAAAAAAAGACCTGGAAAGCAACTTTTAGGTGGTAAAAAACTTAAATTTAATATTGTATAAAATTCTATTGTTAAAACAAGATTAATATGATTTTAAAATTTTTAAAATAACTGACGATAAAAATATTATTATACCATTATAAATTTTGAAATTTTTTAAAGCGGCGGCACATGCAAAATGTTTTGCATACTATTGCTGAAAATAATAAATTCACATTCATTATGATAGAAATGTTTTTAAAAATAATTTCGCATAAAAATGTACAAATTTGCTAGAATTTGTGAAATACATGGGATTTTTAAATAAAACATGATAACATGCAAAAGCATGAGACCTGGAAATATTGCACAGAAATGTCACATTCGCGTCGCTGTTCACGACATGGATCATAAGAATTATGCATAAGAATCCAAATACGACAACCCCAATATTACAAAAAAACATGTTTTGATGGTAAAATTAAAAAATAGGTGAAATAGGTAAAATTACACTGGTTTAGGTAGTAAAATGTAAAAATTAGCTAAAATAGGTAAAATTAAATCAGGCTCAAATGAAATCATTTTCTTCAAAACGGTTTTTATTTCATTGCACCTAAAGTTATGATAGGTAATAGGTAACACTAAAATCTCATCTCTAGTAAAAATACAAACACTTAACTAAAGAAGTGACATTATTTATTACAAAAAAATCAATAATGAAATTAAATAATTATAATTTTATTTGGGTTCCCAAGTAAATCAAGTGTTTTTGTATTTTTTTAAACTACAACCCAGGCAACACAGTGACGTGAATATCACGTTTAATTTACGTCTACGGTGACGTCGAAGTCACCAACTTAGATACGTCTTATCGTCGTAAAATTGACGACAATATGTCACAGCGATTTCACGTGTAAAATCACGTAATATTACGTAATTATTTACGTAATTTGACGTGAATAATCACGTAATATTTCTTGAATAATATATGATTAGGTCATACACATAAAAATAATTATCGATACTGATATCAGATATTTCAATGCGAAATGTGATTTTGTCAAAATTAAAAAAACAAAAAATTTTTAGTTGTACTTTTAAATTTTAAGAAATAAATAGGTAAACCCTACTATATATAGTATATATATACTACTATATACATATATATATATACTACTATAGTAGATATATATTTAGTAAATAATTAATAATCAAAATAAATGTATGTAAAAAAGTAGAATATCAAAAAAAAATTTGTTAGTTAATCTTTGCAGAAACACATACATATATCTGGCATTAAAATATCGGATATAAGAATAAATAATTATTTTTACCAGTGCATAAAGGGCTTTTGGTTTAATAATTAATAAAACATGTTTTAAGTTGCTCAAAACATTTATTATAAAATCAAACACATTAAATTTTAAGACAGATGACAGGTCAATATTTTAGGAGCTTATGTAGGTACTTCATTTAGGTGTTATGACTTCGTTACGGAATATACTGAGTAATTAAAACATTAATAAACCAACAAAAATTGACCTACCTGACACAGCCAAAGTATTATCAGTATAAATGGTTTGTTCTATGTACAAATGCCACAGATTATAAAAGTTGGACGCTTGAATCAACCATATTGTTTTTTAGGAATAAACGTTCCCTCGCTTTGTAAGTAGTGCCAACTTACCCAATGCCAAAGAGAAACAGGGTTGCCAGGTGTAAAAATTAATATTATCGAAGAGGGTTAACAAAATGATCAAATTTACAGAAAATTATATAAAATTATCAAAACAAAAATTGTATAAAAACAAGCAAAACTACTAAATTATGTTACAATTATCGATTATTATTTAAATTTTACCGAATTACCGAATTTTACTATTTTAAAAAAGAAAATTATAAAACATCTGGCAACACTGTAGATAAATAATTTTACTAAAATTAAAATTGTGATTGTCAACTGCAGTAACATGTTAATTTCTTATTTTGTGATAAAATGATAAAGGATTTAAAAATCGCGAATTTGTTTTAAAAAATCCATTGATCAATAATTATTAATCTATCTTAATTATTTTAATCTATCTTAATTAGTTTAACCAAATAATGTTTAAAATTATTTTAATAAAATATTGCACGTTGATTCTCCGTCGAAATAACGTAAATTAAGTAAAAATAATAATTTTTGTTTTTAAAAATATTCCAAAACTTTTTGTCGGCCCATTAAAACGGGCCAACTGTTTCTTATTAATTATCACTATATTTTCAAATTTTCTTAAAAATTTCGTCATCTGTTCACGTGATAATGACGTCATTTATTGGTTATCATCGACCTAAGTTAATAATTGGTCGTGTTTTGGTAAATTTTGAGACCAATTATAATTAATTAATTAATTAATAATTATTAACTTAGGTCGATGATAACCAATAAATGACGTCATTATCACGTGAACAGATGACGAAATTTTTAAGAAAATATGAAAATATAGTGATAATTAATAAGAAACAGTTGGCCCGTTTTAATGGGCCGACAAAAAGTTTTGGAATATTTTTAAAAACAAAAATTATTATTTTTATTTAATTTATGTTATTTCGACGGAGAATCAACGTGCAATATTTTATTAAAATAATTTTAAACATTATTTGGTTTTAAACTAATTAAGATAGATTAATAATTATTGATCAATGGATTTTTTAAAACAAATTCGCGATTTTTAAATCCTTTATCATTTTATCACAAAATAAGAAATTAACATGTTACTGCAGTTGACAATCACAATTTTAATTTTAGTAAAATTATTTATCTACAGTGTTGCCAGATGTTTTATAATTTTCTTTTTTAAAATAGTAAAAGTTGGTGACTTCGACGTCACCGTAGACGTAAATTAAATGTGATATTCACGTCACTGTGTTGCCTGGGACCCCTTTTCTACTTTGCCACTAATTATTAATTAATTAATTAATTGATTAACTACATTCCAAAATGGGGTAGCCAAAAAATTTCGTAATTTATTTTTTTTATTGTTTTTTTTCGGTTTCTAAATCATATGAAAATATGTATATTGACTCACAAGTTCACGCCTTTAATCGAAAATAATTGTTTTGAGATTATAGGTATGCAAACTAGGGTGCTTAAATTTTTTTTTTTTTTTATCAATCACCAACATTTGAGAGGGTAAGAGTTGAAAAAAAATTCATTGTTTTTTTTTTGAAGCAACCTAGATTGCATACACTCCATGGAAAAGTTTTCCAAATTTGTACCTTCGTTTTTCTCGCTCTACAGGCTCAGAATAATTATTTTCGATTAAAAGCGTGAACTTGCGAGTCAATATATTTTCAAATAATTTAGAAACCGAAAAAAACAATCTAAAAATTTTTTGTTTTGCCCCCTTTCGCCTACCGTCTGCTAATTGTACCCTAAAATGAAAAAACCCAGAAAATTTGATATTAATCAAACTTTGACCTCGAATAACTCTAGAAGAAATCAATTTATCGAAAAATAATAAGAGACCTTTTATGTAGAACGTAACATTTTATATAAGAAACTGCAATGATCAATGCCATATGTTACTTTGATACAGGGGTATACAATTCTAAACATAAAATTATTTTTTCCCATGTTTATTAAATGGGAAACTAAAATAAAAACAGCGACCTTTTAGAGTTGAGCTGGAACGCCCATATTTTTAAGTTTAATCCTTGATTATTGTACCTGTATTAATAGTTTATATAAATTATTTAATAAATCAAAATTTAAATAAAAATAAACACTACAACTCTGCCGTGCTTAATGAAAACGCCGTAACCAACAATTGTGCGATTTTTGTTTTACGGCATTTTCTACTAGAACAATTCATCCTGCGTCTATCCCCGGTACTCAAAAAACCGTATATATATAGATACGGTTTTTTGAGTAGGTACCGGGGATAGACGCAGGATGAATTTTTCTAGTAGAAAATGCCGTAAAACAAAAATCGCACAATTGTTGGTTACGGCGTTTTCATTAAGCACGGCAGAACTCCTATGCTACTTTTATCTTCAATATATTTTACGTAGGAACTTACTTACGACCACGGTCTTATAAGACCGTGCTTACGACAGAAATTGACCCATGCGATACCGCTTACCATTTCGTTGCTACGATGTGAATGCTCCTAAACTTGCATAACCTCAATTAAATTGTTTGTAAATATTTTAGTTTACTTTACCGGGTAGTTTTAATTTAATTTAAATAGTTATAAGTTGTTTTAAAAAGAAGACATTTAATCGGTAAGAATGTATTTATATACCCAAATATGTAAGATGCACTATAGGTGGTATAAGTTTATATCATTCACATAATATTTTTCCCATTAAGTACCTACCTAAAAACCTTTTTAACTCAATATAAGTAGGTTGTATGTTTTGAAATAATAATTGTAATTATTACAGCTACCTATCTAACTATAAAATAATATAATGCATAATTATTTAATAAATATAGTTCCTATACATTTTCTATATTATTCAAATGTACATGCCGGTTTTTAATTATAAAGCACCACCCTGCTTAAAATACCCCATAGAGACCCATACAAATAATCTATCGGGCGCTATCGGACTTAATATTTGTCCATAGTTTTTTCCGGATACGGCCCGATAGAAAATGTATAGGAAATTACCTATAGGCACACCTAAACTTTTACATTTCCCCTATAGACTGATAGCAAATAACTCAAGGAAGGATATATGCGGATATCCCTATAGAGCAACCATAAAAAATTTGACAAAATTTTGTTAAAAACTAGGTATGGAGAAAAACTAATTTCTACCTTTATGTGTATTTTCCCTATTGAGACCAATAGCAAATAAATCAAGGAAGGATATCCCTATAGAACAACCATAAATCCCAACTATGGGTCCTATACATACCGATACACCCTATAGAAACACCATACAATCCGATACAAAAATCTATCGGTTCGAACAGGGTCTCTATGTGACATTTTAACCAGGGCAGGTAGGTAACATTAAATAACGCAAATTTGCGTCCTTTTATGTTTATTCGCCATTGGGTTTACTTCCCAAATTTTAATAATATTATCAAACATGATTTATTTATTATTGTATTAGTACAAAATTAATAAAACATCATGGTGTAGGTAACTATCAAACTCAACCTGTTTAATTTTATAGTTCTTACAATAATTATTATACCTAATAATATTATATGGAAAACAATAATAGATTAATAGATTATTGATTTAGGGACCTTACGTTAATAAGTTTTTACGAGAATTTTCCTACTAGAACTTTGTACTTTTTTAATAGAAAACATCCATTTTCAGGGGCGGTTATGGAGGGGCGATGGCCTCGTAGCTTACAATAAAATAATTTTTTTTTATTAAAATTTTATGTTGAATAAAAATGCCAAGTATAGCAAATTTTAAGATCACCACATCAGGCAGTGATGTCAAATGAAATAGTCACTAACTTTGTTCTTTGAAACTCGACTGAGCAGTTACTGTAACCAGCAAAAAAGCTCCCTAATTCATTATTTTTGATATTTTCAGAAAATAAGACTAAATTCGCCATTTTAACGTAAAGCCTAATTGCTATTATTAGTAACTCTTTGACAAACACGCTCAACATTATCAATTGAAAGAGCTCGATTAAATGTTATTTGTTATAAGGTATACCTACCTAAAAAGCAAAACACGCCAAACCTGCCACCTATCTGCCTCGACATCAACCATTTTGTCCAAACTTGTGTTTATATATATATTAGGGTGTGCCAAAAAACCTCGATATTTTTTTTTTCTTGCTCTCAACCCAAAATATCGTAGAATATGTCCGAACAAATATTCTGTTAAAAGCGGAGCTCATAATTTCAATTTTAAGAGGTCCTCCATCGAATCTGAAGTTTTGCCGCTTAAATAACACAGAAAACTGACTTTTTTACCTTATTTATTCTTGCAACCTAGGAAGAAATTTTTTTTTCATAAAATCCATGACTAATTCTTACAAAGCATTAAATTTGGACAAAAAAATCTTATTAAGCTGAATTTCTATTTTCAATATTTGATTTTTCAAAGAGCTTTAAATTTAAAGTTAATAATACAAAAATGATGACTTTATACGCCTGTAACTTTAAGAATATTGACGATACAAAAAATTCGCCTTAAACTTTTTTGTGGTCCATCAGACAAGCTAAAAAATTGCTATTTGACTTTTTCGTCTAACTTAAATAGTTTAGCTGAAAAAGGCAAAAAACGTAAAATTTTAAATTTAAAGCTCTGTAAAAAATCAAATAATGAAAATAGAAATTCGGCTTAATAAGATTTTTTCTTCCAAATTTAATGCTTTGTAAGATTTGGTCATGATTTTTATGAAAAAAAAATTTCTTCCTAGGTTGCAAGAATAAATAAGGTAAAAAAGTCAGTTTTCTGTGTTATTTAAGCGGCAAAACTTCAGATTCGATGGAGGACCTCTTAAAATTGAAATTATGAGCTCCGCTTTTAACAGAATATTTGTTCGGACATATTCTACGATATTTTGGGTTGAGAGCAAGAAAAAAAAAATATCGAGGTTTTTTGGCACACCCTAATATATATATATATATATATATATATATATATATATATATATATATATATATATACAGGGTGTCCCAGAATTCGCGCCACAGAGAAAAAGGGAACGTTTCGAAACTTATACGAAACACATACTTGAAAATTAAAATTATCTAATGTAAAGGATAAGTGAGATAAGAATAAAAAACTATAGCCTATCCCAATACATGGTCAAAGGGAATTCTTTAAATTGCTAGGATACTTAGGATGCATTGTTGATATTATAATATGAAATATTTGGTTGACTAGAATCCACTTCATTGCGACACTGATGTCAATTTTTGTTTTTGTCATTATTTATAATTTTAAGGGGGCTTTCTCTGTGGCACGAGTTCTAGAACACCCTGTATATATATATATATATATTTACAGGGAGTTTCACATTTGTGGTCCATTAGAAGTTTCTAGGGAACGAAAAAATATATCGATTTGAAAATTTTAATCCATTTAAGTCTATTTTTCTAAATTATTTTTAACATAATGCCATTTGCGGTTTAACCGGAATAGAAAACCCCATATATTTTTAAATTCTGAATAAAAAAAATTTTTTTCGTTAAAAATAAGTGTTTTTCTTCTCCTCGTACGGTTTCAGTTTCGTATCTGCCAGTTTAGCAATTTGGGCAACACTGTCAAGATTCATTTTAATTGGTTAAATTTAAATTCATGGCATGCGCATAAAACACATAACCTCAAACGACTCTTATTTTGTATATATTGTTATGCTTCTTTATTATTTTAGTGTAGATATTGATATGTATTAAATAAAAATACGTACATAAATATTTGCATACAATTTTTTGTTACACACATTAATTAAAAAATATCGCATTTTTTAAATAATTTTACCAAAACAAATCTATCGGTTCAAATTGTTCTTTTGATACGTGGACAAATAACTATGTAGAATTTGTACGTACATATCCGTAAAAGTTTCTATTTCCTCCTCATTATTTGCTTCTGCAGCGGATATCTAAAAAAAATCGTCTAAATTTTGAAAATGTTCTTTCCGTTGTAAAACTGTATAGGTACCTTTTCTCGTGTTGCACAAAATCAACAATTTGTTCATCGTCGTCACTTTCAAAAAAATCTCCAATATTCATTTCAAAAACAACACTACACAAACACAAATATAACCGCGATAACTGCTAGTAAATGCACTGACAGCTTCCAGTTAAATTTCCTTCCAGTTATCTTAAATTAAGTTCTTAGTAAACGTTAGTTGCATATTGATACACAGTTTAGCTACCACTTTAATTTTATTTACCAGTTAAGACACTTAAGTGAACATTGATAAACCGGCCCTCAGTGGAATAAATTTAAAAGGTTTATTAAACATAGTAATTTTGATTTTTTGAATGACTTGTTTTTATATTTGATAATAACTAACTAATGAATTTGCCTAAAATTGAAGTAAAAAATGCAATTATGACATAAATTTAACTTAGACTTTGAATAACTTTTGAACTCGTTGGTTTATCGAAAAATGATAGGAGACATTTTTTGTAGAGCGTTAATTTTTCCACAAGAATATATATCGCTCTTAAAAATCTGTTAATTAGTTTCTTAGCTAGAAAATTATAAAGAAACAGAACAAAATTTCCCATGTTATTTAAATGGGAAATACAAATTCTCGATGCGCGATCTCTAAATATTAAAATTAAGAGCTCCGGTTTTCACAGGTGTCTTTTTTCAGAAAAAAAAATAGTTGATTTTTTTGAACCAGCCTAATATGTATATATATATATATATATATACAGGGTGTTTCATAATATATCCGCAGGACTTCAGGATGTGATAGCTCATCCAAAAAGATGAAAAAAGTATTAACTTACGCTCTAAAATGCACAATTTTCGAGATACAGGGTGTTGAAAGTTTAGAAAAAAATTCGTATTTTTCGAATATCTTCGGAACCGTTTATCGTACAAAAAACAGCTTTTGTAAGCATTTTCTACTCAAAATAAGCTATGTTTTGTTCCAGAAAAATTTTTTTTTTCCTCATAATTGGTGGAGATTTTGAAGGGGTAGCGGGTGTTTTTCTCCTTAACTTCTACGCCCCCGAAAAAAGTACGGTTTTGAGAGGCCCATTCGAACCGCCAATGTTTTCTACACAAAAAAGGTACTTGGTCATAAGCTCTAAACTTTAATGTTAAAATAAATTTTGTTTAATTAGTAAAAAAAAATTTTTTTTTTTTTAATTGACCATGTTTTTAAACATAAAAGTTGATTTTTCTCGAAAACGGTCAATTTTAGAGCTTATGACCAAGAGTACCTTTTTGTGTAGAAAACATTGGCGGTTTGAATGGGCTTCTCAAAACCGTACTTTTTTCAGGGGCGTAGAAGTTGAGGAGAAAAACACCCGCTACCCCTTCAAAATCTCCACCAATTATGAGGAAAAAAAAATTTTTTCTGGCACAAAACATAGCTTATTTTGAGTAGAAAATGCTTACAAAAGCTGTTTTTTGTACGATAAACGGTTCCGAAGATATTCGAAAAAAACGAATTTTTTTCTAAACTTTCAACACCCTGTATCTCGAAAATTGTGCATTTTAGAGCGTAAGTTAATAGCGACTTTTTTCATCTTTTTGGATGAGCTATCACATCCTGAAGTCCTGCGGATATATTATGAAACACCCTGTATATATATACCTACAGCGTGT